ACTGTGAAATCAGCTATGTGAGAAGGAAATCACAGTATCTGAGTATCATAGCATCACAGCATTAATAGTACATATTATGGCTATTAATTTTTCTTTCTTTGATAATTAACTGATATTTTATTTAATAATACATTAAAAGATTGTTTTCAAGAATACTATCATATATTTCAGAGATATTAAAAAAATCATCTCAGGTAAGTGTATATTTCCTTACCTCTCAGGCAGTCAGGTAGGCGGTAATGTGTTTCCAATACATTTTCTCAACAATGCTCTAACATCACACGCAGATGGCAATGCAATCAGGTGAACAGTTAATGGTTAATTCAGTGACTTTATGAGAAGGATTACAATGAAATCTCAGATGATGCAGAATGAAATTTCAAAGTCAAACATATTTAATGTAAACTTAAGTTACAATCACTCTCTGGGGCCAGAGTTGTCTATTATGTTGTCCACAAGGGGGAAGCCAGAGTCCTGCATGCGGGTACATGCAGGTGAATCGCTAATATTTGATGTAATGGGTGGAATAATATTTATGTGTAGGGTGTGGTGCGGTTGTGCCACTGATTGACAGCTGTAGTGATTATATTAAAGGGAGCACTCTTTGCTGGCTTTCTGTATTTAATCTATTCACAATTTGAATAAAAGTTTTAATAAATGAGTTTTCTCTACCTCATGTAGGAGATTTAATGCATGTGTGGTTCGGGTCCCAGTTTTTATGTCAAATGGGTCGGGTATGGGATTAAATTAGTGTTGCTGCCACATAACGTGTCGGGTGTTCTGTTAATTACTGCGATTGTGGGAAGATCATTTCACCAGCCAGAAAAGGTGAACGAAAATGCCTCTCTGTGATGTTATGCCACTGATTGACAGCTGTAGTGATTATATTAAAGGTAGCGCTCTTTGCTGGCTTTCTGTATTTAATCTATTCACAATCTGAATAAAAGTTTTAATGAATGAGTTTTGTCTACCTCATGTAGGAGATTTAATGCAGGTGTGGTCCGGGTTTTCATGTCAAATGGGTTGGGTATGGGATTAAATTAGTTTTGCTGTCAGATAACGTGTTGGGTGTTCTGTTAATTACTGCGATTGTGGGAAGATCATTTCACCAGCCAGGAAAGGTGAACGAAAATGCCTCTCTGTGATCTTACCACGAGACATCGCTTACTTGCAGATCTCAGGCTTCTGGAGGGGATGTAGATTAGTAAGAGTGAGAAGGAAGTAGGAGGGTGCTGAGCCTGTTCTGTACACAAAGATCAATGTCTTGAACTTTGCAACAGGTAGCCAGTGCAGGGAGATAAAGAGAGGAGTGAAGTGGGCCCTTTTGGGCTCATGGAAGACCAGTCGTGCCGCTGGATTCTGAATCTTTTGTCGAGGTTTGATTGGAATGCATGATGGAAGTTCAGCCAGAAGAGCATTGCAATAGTCCAGCCTAGAAATGACAAGGGCCTGGGCAAGAAGTTGTGCAGCATGCTCTGTTTGGAAGAGCCTGATCCTCCTGATGTTGTGCAATGCATATTGTACAATATGGTCCTTGAAGGTCAGCTGGTCACCAAAGAATAATTTTTGCTGTGTGTCATCAGCATAGCAATGGTAGGAGAAGCCATGTGCTTGTATAATGGGTCCCAGTGATGTAGTGTATATAGTGAAGAGGAGGGGTCCAAGAACTGATCCCAGAGGAAACCCTGTGGCCAGTTGATGTTC